GCCAATATTTATAGCAACTTAAACACTAACAAATATTTTATTTATGAAATTAGAATACATTTTGAATTTTTATTGAATATTTATTATTAGTCTCTTTTACTTGTATTAGTTTACATAAAGTATCTTAAAGCGAATATTACATTATTTCCTGTAAAGGAAGAGAGAAGTAAATATTATGTATTAATTCAAAATTTTTTATTTTAAGTTTTATTAGTAGGAAACATTTTTAAGTTTGTATGTAATTTTTTTTGTACTCTTATTTTAAAGTGTTTTGATATTTGTTTTGGAAAATGAGTATAATAAAACTAAGATTAAAAAAAAAAAAGTTGATATAAAACTATTCATAGTGTTATTTTTTTTATTGTCATTATATAACAATCATGATGTTTTTTTTGACTTAAAAATTTTTAACATAGAATCTTGTATTAGGATTATATTATCTAATTTCTCTATTTAAAGGAAGTTATCAAGAAAAAATTGTCAATTTTTTTAATTAGTGATATCAAGAGTCTAAGGTTAGAATGTTATATTCTTAGTATATTATGTGGCTATAATATTATGTGATCTTCCACGTAAAAAAAAATGTGTAATACACGATTTACAGTATTTATATAGCTACAAAGTCAAGTATTATGATATTTAATGTAGAGAAATTTGATAGAAGAATCAATTTTGTCCCACAGTAAGTACAAGTCAAGGATAGGTATTTAGGATTATACTAGGCTAACTAGCAATATCTTGCTCATTGTAGAAAAGATAATTATCTTCTCCAAAAGATAATAAGTATACCCTTATAGTACTCTCACTAGCTCATACGAGTGAAATTGATTGCACAACAGTATTTATTAACATTGATAGAAGATATATGCTAACACATAAACACTGGTTGATATTAAAGCAAGATATGTGGTGATAACACATAAGCATTTGGTTGACATTCATATAAGGCATGTGGTGATAAAACATGAATATTAGTGTGTGCGTGATAATAATTAACACATATATTAGTTGTCAGCACACAAGTATTGGTGAACACTTATGTAGTATACTTTTTTTCATGAAATATAATAGTTCCTTTGAACTATAACCGTTAATCTAAGCAAGAATAGTTCTTTTGTTGGAATTAGTTAAAATAAAATATACTAAAACAAGTCTCACAATGTGTTTTTTTTTTTTTGTCACTTTTAAAATTTTCAGTTAAATTATGTTATTTAATTATTCTATTTAGTAGAAAAATCTATTCGTTAATCCAAACTCAACAATTTGAAATTGTAAAAATAGAAAATCATTACTATCTCTTCCCTAGGCTTTGACTTTTGTATTCTTATTTATTTATAATAGATTAAAATATATATTTACTTTTTATAATTAATTTTTATTTGTTTGTTTTATAAAAATAATTTACATTTTAATTTTAAGTTATAATATTGTTTAAAATAAGTTATTATTTATTAAATTATATTTTTTATTGATATTGTTACCATGAAAATTAAAACATAATAAATTACTGACTAAAATATAAGGTTGTAACATCCAAAAGCTAATCTACATATAAAAAATATCTACTAAGCTTTATAATAACGCATAAACTCACTTGTCATTTCTAACCACACGTCCTGGACGAGGAGGCTAGGACTTGGATAGTGTAGAATTATTGAAAGATCCTTGTCACTTTCACTTTCCTTAATGGAGTTTTCTCTCATTTCTTCTTCTCTCCTTAATTAATTAACATCAGCTAAAAACTAAAACTTGGGCTAAATCTTTCAATAATAGGCATTGGAAGTATATTATGTATACTTAGTATTAAAGAAATGTCTTAGATTAATCAATCGGTGATTCACTTTGAAGAGACAAGCCATGCATTTAAAGAAAACAAAAATCAAATCAAATAGATAGAGATAAATGTGTCTAACACTGATTGAAGAGCATGTGCCATCCACCATTATTGTCGATGTGAAGCTCCAAACCCATCTCCAACAGAGCATGCATGTGTGCAACTCGTTCCGAAAGTGAAGCCCTGATCTACTGCGATTGAGGTGTGTGTGTGAGAGAGATCGGTGGCCACAAAAGGAATAGTAAAAAAGAAGAGAGAAAGAGAGAAGAGACTAAAGAAGGAAGAGAAATTTTCATTGAATAGAAGTTGGTACTTCAAAATACCACATTAGAAAGAGAGACTATATAACTCTCTAATAACATATTTAATAGTTACTTACTGTGTTGCAATTATTATAATTTATATTTCATTTAAAACATTCAAATCTTGTTTCGTTTGTTGAGTAATTCTGAATTCAACAGATTCAACTAGTGACTAATTAATTGAACTAATAACTAACTCACAACTTCGATCGATCGATCGAGTTAATAGTGCTTTAAATTTTATAGTACTACATGGACTTGAAACTTTATTGGCATGGTCATTCATTGTCTGACGATTCATGTATTAATTAATTGGTCAATCAACGCATGTGGTTAATCACTATATTTCATTGTTCTTTCAAGTTTCAATCCCTATACTTTCTTTAATTACAAGTAAATTAAAAAGTTTGTCAATTTTTGTTTTTATTTTCATAATTAATTGAAATTTTCATATTATTTTAATATAATCTTTTGCTTTCAAATATTTATATAAAAATAAGAAAACCTAATTCACCCTGTGAAATTAATAAGAAAGAGCCCAAGTATAATAAATAAGTTAAAGAATTATTTTTTTATTACTTTTTTCGAGAAGATATTGAATGAATTGAGTAAAATCGATATTTCAACATCTTTTGGCATTCTTATAACTAAATAAATTTTGGTTTACTGTGCTCTTGTTTTCTTGCCTGACTTTCTTTTAAAAATTATTTTCTTAGTTCTTTATAAGATATCACTCAAGAATTCTTGAATTTCTGTCCAAATAAAGTTAAATAGTGTTTGAAAGTTTAATTTTCGTTAACAACCATACTTTACTTCTATTTTATTATTAATTTATAAGATTTGGCACACATACTAAAGCCTTAAAAATAAGTAAGTATATATATATATATATATATATATATATATATATTCTTATTTTGTGAGGTGTCTTTTGTACATTTTGAATGAAAGAGTTAATACTTCACTATATTATACATGTTCTTGACACAAATAGTATTACAACCAATAAAAGAAAAAAAAACTTATTATCTAACAAAAAATATAAAAGAAATTGATATATTTGAAAAAAAAATTAAAATACAGGAGATATTTATTATATAAAACAAAACAATATTGTTACATTTATAGAAAACAAAATTCACTCAAATTAAACCTAAAAAGTATGTTTGAAGATATTTAAAATGATTAATTCAATTTTTATAAAAAAAATTAAAAAAGCTAAAAGCTGAGAAATCAAAATTTTATTAAAACAGTGAGAATTTGGAATTTGGTTCGCTGGCTGGTCCTATCCCTCTTGAGGTAAAAATAGTTACTAGAATATCAATAAAAAGAACTCTTTCCATATACTGTTTTTCTTCTTCTTTCTTCCATCAATGGTTCACATTCCTTTTGGTGATTTTCTTTCATGAGAAAAAGTTCCCTAAAATTAGTTTAAATTAAAATAAAATGGTGAAGTTTAAAATTTTAAAACATTCTAGTACATGCATGTTTTTTTTTTGTCATCTTTTGTGTTTAGCTGGCAACTTTATGTTTTATTTTTTTTAAAAAAATATTTTTCTTATTTGTTTGTAATTGACTTCCTTCTTCTGAGTCATTGATCAAATACAACGAAATTCCTTAGCTGTTTGAAATAAAAATAATGTATAACATCTATCTTTTGTGTTCAGTTGATAACTTTATCTTTCTCTTTCAATTATCCTGTTTATTTCTCTGTCATTGACTTACTTCTTCTAAGTCATTGAGCAACTGCAACGAACCTTCTTGGCTCTATAGTATTTGTTCAGAAGTTGCAATTGGGTGTAATAATATCAATCATTGATAACGTACGTGTATATTAATTTATCATGAAAGACTTGGTCCCAAACTTCAGTTATAAAATGCTTGAAGCTGAAGTTGGACTCAAAATATTTTAGTATTCTGATAAAAAATAAATAAATGCATGTGTAGATATTATCAGTTGAAATGATCAATAATTGTAACAAATGATGTGACTATTGAATTTTCTCTCTCGTACAAGGTATTATTTCTTAGTAACAACATCTTTCTCTCTATATATAAAAATAAATAAGTTTTAGAAGGAAATTTATAATGAGTTTTGGAAGAAAATTTATTTTCACTCTTTAATATAATAATTAATAATTACTATTTAAAGTCAGACGATTTAATTCAAATCAGTTAAATATATTTATTTTTAATTAGCAATTTTGATATATTCAAAATGTACATTTGCGGTAGATTTAAACTTTAATATGAATAATTTAATTTAAATCAGTTAAATGCATTTATTTCTAATTAGCAGTTTTGATATATTCAAAAAGTACATTCTTTGCAGCAGATTTGAACTTTAATATTAATGTTTACTTTAACTTTTATTATTGAAAATTAATAATTGATAAACTTATATAAAAGTAGATGAATTTTAGAAAAAAATTTGTAATAAATTTTGAAAGAAAATTTACCTTCACTCTTTAACATAATAATTAATAATTACTATTTAAGACCATCTTGAATGATTTAATTTAAATAAGTTAAATGTATTTATTTCTAATATAATATTATATTATAACATAATAAGGTTCAAATAAATATTTCACAATTTAACATAATAACGAATATAATATAATATAATATAGAAGAATAATCAACTTATACCAATATAAATTATACTTATTAAATTCAATATCATTTTCACTCATCTACTCATTAATTTATACCTATATATTATACATATCATTTTGTATCAAATTTTATAAAAAAATATATAATAAGAAGATAAATAAATAATTTTTATTTTTTTAAATATATATTACGTTAATTTCCCAATTCTTATCCGCTTAATAATAATAACTAGTAACACGGGTTCAGTTATCAGCTTCTTGTTCACATGTTATTTTCTCAGGCGCTTATAAAAATATTAAGTTTGCATAGAGATTCAGAACTGGAAACTCTAGCAATTGCATCGTTACAGACTGAACACTTTGTGAGTAGAAAAAAATTGATATAAGCAAATTTATACTAGTGACTGTCTTCACCTTCCAAGAAGCATTCAGACGTTTCCTTTCCAAGATTTTTGTTGCATCGTGCGACCCAGGATTTCAAGGAAAATTTTTATAAGATTACAGACATCATATTAGTAAGGAACTTCCAACAAACCTGCGAATATTAGAAGAGCCACTTGAATAAACATGTCTTAGGAACAACACTACGAGGATTATTAACCAGATTGTTACAAACTAAATTAAAATTACAGACGACCATTGTTCAAGTTGCAATTTAAAGAAAGGGTTCTTATGAGCTAATTGAATGAAGCCAATTTAAGTTAACATCAATGTGAGGAATCTCTATCTTTAGATTAGGAAGCATAGCTTCAAATGCTTCCCATGAAGCAGCCGTCTCTTCATCACATGCCACTGCCTTTAAATTATCAAGATTGACGATTGAGTATGGCAATTCACACCGTGCACAACTTGTCATGTAGAGATTTCTTAAATTACACAATTTACCAATGTCCTCGGGTAAACTAGGAAGGTTTATGCAGTTTGAGATGTCAAGAAGTCTTAGGTTCAAAAGCCTTACAATAGAACCTGGTAGCCCTTCCAAACCAGTACAGGAACTCAGCCTCAGGATTTCCAAACTCTCCAACTTTCCAATTTCTTGTGGGAGAGATTTAAGCTTGTGGCAATTAGTAATATTAAGTTTCTTTAGAGGGGTAATATCACAGACCCCAGTAGGCAATCCTATCACATCCTTGCAATAGTCGATGTCTAAATCTACTAGTTTTGGAAATGTATCTGAATTTTGGATCTTATCATTTTCAAATGCCTGACTTATATTACTACACATGTAGAGGGATAATTTTTTAAGATTCTTCAATGCACCTAAGTGAGGAACAGAAATCCGCTCTAGTCTGATTCTTTTCAGGTTGGATATAGAGCCAAGTAGCTTAAAATTGTCTAATTTAGAAGGATGGAAACCATAATTTGTCACAAGAAGAACTTTCAGTTTGCTCATTTTCTCCATGAACTCTGGAAAGGAGTACTCCTTAGTTCGAAGATTTAAAATCAGAACTTCAGCTTGGATTGATTGCAAGTGGGACAAACAAGAAGTGCAAGTTTCATCTGCAAAAACAACCTTATCATGTCAGTTTTGAGAGTAATGAATGGAAGATCACTGAAACTTTCTAATTAGCATTTTTACTATGTAAGCTAACTAACCAGTTGATATAGACAATGTGCGGGCTGCCACCTGTTGTTGGGGATTTTGTTTAACACCCCATCTTAGACATTTTGACACCATGCGGACCATCATGCCTTGGTGCTTCTCCCCATGCCACCATCCAGATTTAATTTCATTTGTATCAATAATCAGTCTTTTTCTTTGTTCAATTGATTCCCGGGTGCTTTGACAAATTGCGAGCTCTCTTAGAAGATCATGAAGGACAATGAAGTGTATATTATAGTAGTAATTGTCTGTGTCACCTGTATTTTTCCTGGTAAATGTGGAGGAAAGAAAAATCCTTAGGAAGCGATTAAAAATGTATAATGTGAAAGCTTAATATAGGGAACTAGCTGCTTCTCATATGGGCTATAAATGCTATTGAATTATTTGTTCTAGTGTATAATTCATGTTATATAACTAATTCATATTATGCTTAAGTGCTAGAGATGAAAGTCTAAGTAGTCACTGTATTTGTTACCTTGCTACTAAGACATCAGCCAGATTCATGGACTCTAACTTTTTGATGGTGTCCATTGCTTCTATGCCATCATCATCTAATCCATATAACTCTGCCCACATATCTATGAGAGCATTAACAGGAATTCTTTGGTCTTCAGGAAATAATCCTAGGTCCATGAAACACTCCTTGATGATGGGACTATCTTCCAAAACATCCATGAGCTTTTGGAGGGAAGTAAGTAATTCAGTGTTAGAATCAAGTATAGAATGACCTTGTGACATTTCCTCCACCATCTTTTGCCACAACGCATAAGGTCGATAACTAAGTGATCTACCGATTACTTTAATGGCAAGCGGTAAACCCTTGCAATATCTCACAACCTGAATATACGTGCAAGAAAAAATAGTAAGGAAATTATTGTTACAATTGGTTGTCTTATTTCATGATGCTTAATACAAGTAAATGACTTCAGATAAAATCAACAAGTACAGACAATTGGCATATGTCAGAAAATAAGAATAAGAACCTTTTGGACAAGTTCCTCATCAGGAATAGTTGAACTTCTTTTCTTCAAGAAGGCATAGTGACGGAAAAGTGTCATTGCATCTTCATGAGGAAGTGGTTTTAAGATACATGGGGTGCCAAATCTAGGAAATGCAACCCTTGAAGTTACTAAAATTTTATAATCTGATATCTGGAATGTAAATTTCTCAACAAGGGCTTCTGATCCAGGCCAAACATCATCCAGTACCAACAACATTGGAGTTCCCTCAATTTTCCTTAGCAAGAGCCCAAACCGTTTAATTGCATCTTCGTCACTTCGAAACTCAGGCACTGGATATCCGTAGTGTTCAAATAGTCTCTCTACAATACTCTTCAATTTGGGTGTTTGTGAGAAGGTAACAAACAAAATATTATCCTTGAATTTACCTGGTAAAAACAAAGGGATCTGTTAGCCCAGCACATTTGATATCTTGTACCATTTCATACACACAAGGTATTTATTTCACATTTCCACTGTGCATATATTGCAACAGATCTGTACCCCCAGAGCATTTTATGCCTATTACCAAACACAATATTTTACTAACTGACCACTGAATAAAAAGAAAATAAATACAGTTCAAAAGAAAAAGCTTCTCTAATCTGTTAAAGCAGTATTTACAAAGAATAGGACATGCCTATGATACGTTCTTTTGATGTAAAGAGTAAAGACACATTAACCTCCCTAAGGACAAAGTATCCTTAAGCTTGAACTCTACTCTAGGCAATTCTACACTTGAGAAATAGGGATTCAAAACATTTTGCACAACTCTTTTCGTCTATTACAGATAAAACTTCACACATTCTGAAATACCACCCAATGTTAGCACTTAGCATATTTCCAACAAACTTTTTGCATATCTTTCTGGTACTATCTATAGTAATAATTCGTTACAAAATCTTGTATCAGAGTGGCAAAATATAAATAAGTTTTGAAAAGAATTCATGAGTATCTATCACACTAAACAAATTTTATGACCATAGAGCCATGATGACTTCATTTATAAGAGCTAGAAGCCAAAGAAGAATAACCCCTTACCCTTGACTTCGCCGTCCCAACAGAGCTTCGTAGCCAAAGTTGTTTTACCCAATCCTCCCAAACCAGTCAACATAAGGATGGAAACGCCATCCCTGAGAACATCTGTCTTCAACTTGCTCAACGGTAAATCCAAACCAACAGTGAATTCTGGGTTTTTAGGAACACCAAAAGGACACTTCATTGGTGTTCCAACAACATTAAGTTTCTGCATAAAATTCTCTTCATCAAGAAGCTCAATAATTTCTCTCACCTTGTAAAGTGTGACTTTGATATCCTTAACTAGATTGCCATCAGCAGCCAAGGAACCATTTTTATAATGCCTAAGTCTATCTCCATAAAGTGGAAGCCAAGATAAAAATCTGAACCACCAAATATTCCTGGAACAGGATTTGCACACAACCTCTTCCCCTGCATCTTTTTCTTTGATGAGAATGTTGATTTCTTCTCTGGGTGGGTTCAAGTGTTCATTGAATTGCTTTATCTCAACGACCAAAGCGTTCATATCCTTCAGAGTTGACCTCAGGATTCGCCTGTTCCATTTGTTCTTTAGACCCTTGTCCACTATGTCCTTTACCATCCTCAATGCCTCTTGAAATAGTGTCGAAAGGGTAACAAGTTGAGTGTTCTCTCCCATGATAACCAGTTTGTCGCATCCTACACCTATTCAACCAAACAAAGAACATGTTATAAAACACGAAAAACTCCGAGTTTGGCTAAAGTGAAAAAAATGTGAAAATGAAAAAGTGAGGATTTATCTCCAGTTGATTTCAAGTTATCTATAAAATTATTCAATTCAAATCAAAAGTGAATAAAACCCCAATTTATCACTTTACACATTTCCTTACAACAGAGCAACTCAATCTAACTTTGTTGCACGAGGATACAAAACAAAAAGAGACAGTTATATTCTACTATACCTTTGAAATAATCGCTCATGTGAACTACGGATTTGAGTTTTTTCTGTTCGTGCCTTTTTGGTTGATGAAAGCAGCAGCAACGGGTAACGAGCACAATTGAGATCTTATTATGTTAAGAAAGAAGTGGAATTCACCAATTGAAATAGCGGAAGCGCCAAACCGCCATATATATCGCCATGATTATGCAACTATGAATCTACCTTGCTTATTTCCTCCGTCTGACTTTTCCAGTAACTTTCCACGAATCTAAAGTTTATGTTCTTATTTGTTACGCGGTGCAGAAGTTAATGACATTATTGACATATATTTTGAAATTATTAAAAAGTCAAGTTGACGGAACTTACCTAGACTTGACAGACGAAGCTGACCCAGTTTTGAACGTATTACAATTGATTTTGATATAATTAATTTTAAATATGTATATTTAATTAAAATAAGCATATGATTAAGCAAGTTAATGACCGAGTTTAAGAGTATGATCAAGGAACCATTTTTCTACTCTCTATTCCACGTCACCCAATATTGAAAAGATTTAAAAAAATTATTTAATTGCATATCTTTTGACATATATAAAAATAGACAATTAAAATTCTATTAGCTTTTTAACAAATTTTTGAAGAGGGTTGTTGATTAACAAGATTCATTAGAATAAATAAACGTGTATCGATTCTTGATAAAAATTAATTTTGTAATTATCGTAAGGGACACTTCATGAAAGTAGCCGCGTAGAAGGTGAACAAAGCAGTCCCCGTTCTGTCACAATGTTTCGTCGTTGGATATAACATCTCTTTAACGGACGGACAGGATTCATTGGTTACCTGCAACCTGTAGAACCGGTGATGGATCTGTGAAATTTTCCATCATGTCTCTAATTGAGATTCTCAGCGAGAAGAAGAAGTGAATCTTTGGCGAGGGCTACCTGAAGGATCTGCTTATCCATCATGTCTCAAATCAGGTATCTGGTTGTTGAGTGCGTACAAGAAGATTCGAGGAGAAGAAGAAGAAGAAAGGATACAAACGGCGACCGCAGAAACAAAGGAAGGATGAAAACGTATCTAAAGAGTAGAGATGGGATTGAATACAACCTCCTGAGTCATGAGTACAAGGAGAAGTTCGAGTGGTGTTTATTCGTAATTCTTTTTTATCCGTTTTCATTTCCTTGCCTCTTTTGTCCTAATCCTAGCTTAAGCCTTAAGCTAAGTAATATTAAATTCCATTCGATAGTTCAGAAATACTAAAAAAATTATATTTAAATTATTAATTAAATTTTATAATAATTACAAAATTATCAATATATTCTTTAATAAAATTTATCAATAAAGACTAAAAAGATGCAGGTGATGGATAATAGATAATTTGAGATAAGTTAATGGGTATAAAAAAAAATTTAAATAAAATAATTATTTTTATAAAAGAAGAATTTACAATAATATTTGTGAGAGACTATGAAAGATAAGAGATCAAATAAAATATAAATAATATATTGATGTGAGAGTATGATAATAATAAAGATTACAATGTTTAATTTGTTATCATCATATTCGTAATTTTTTTACTGTAGGTACCTGTTTAAAGTTGTGTTTAGTATAAATCAATGCACTTAAGAAAGTAATGATATTTGTGTAGCATTTGTTACTTAATACTATCAACTTTGATTAATGGTTGTCCTACATTGGAGGTTCATATTGAGCGAAGCCTAAAACAGGGAATCCTCTTGCCCATTTTCTTTTTCTGGTGGCAGTGGAAAGGTTAGGAGTTCTTATGCGGAAGGCAGTGACTTGTGGGTTGTTATCTAGTGTGAAGATTGGAGTAGGGAGACCAGATATTTCTTTGTTACAGTTTGCGGATGACACATTGATTATGGGAGAGGCTTCGGTGCAGAATTTGTGGACTTTGAAAGCAGTATTGCGTAACTTTGAATTAATGTCAGGTATAAAAATTAACTTCCATAAATCTTTTGTATTGGGATTAACACTGGTGATGACTTTGAAAACTTGGCTGCGGAGTTTCTACATTGTAAGATTGGTAGTTTCTCATTACTTTGAAGGGTGTATTAGAGGCTCTTAACAAGCGGTTAGCGTCATGGAAGCATATGTATTTATCGATTGGAGGTAGGGTGACTTTGATTAATGTCGTTCTTAATTTTATGCCATTGCACTCGTTATCCTTTTTGAAGGTGTCGAAGTCGGTAATAAAAGAGATTGTCACTATCCAACGGAATTTTTTATGGAAGGGTATTAAGGATGGATCTAAAATCCCCTGGGTGAAATGGAAAACGGTATGTAGACTGCGGAAGAATGGTGGCTTGGGCATTAGGAATATGCAGTGGTTTAATTGGGCGTTTCTTGGTAAATGGTTGTGACGAGGTGTTAACTGTTCTAGTTCATTGTGGGTGCGGGTGTTGGAATCTAGATATGGAAGATTAGCTTCTTCTATTCAACGTTCATCAGTTCACAACAGATGTTCTTTGTGGTAGCGTGATTTGCTGGAGGTTATTCATCAAGGGAATTTATGACTGGATGAGAAGTTTGATAGAAGTGTGGGTGCAGGTTTACACACTCTTTTTTGGAGAGATAAGTGGGTAAACGGGGTGCGATTGTGTGAAGCATTTCCATGATTATTTACGGTGGTGAGGAATGCTGAATCATGTGTATTAGAGAATGATTTTCATAATGGCACTAGGTGGGTTTGGAATGTTAGTTGGCGAAGATGACTCTTTCAACATGAGATCTCGAGCTTTAATCTTTTGTTGGAGCTTGTAGATAGAGTTTCTATTAAGTTACTATAAGAAGATAAATGGGTATGGAGGGCAGATTCTTCAGGTTGTTATTCAGTGCAATCTGCATATTTATGGATATTTAAACTTTTTGGTTGTCCTAATAGTGTAGATTAGTGTACGACAGATGCCTTGCAAAGGCTATGGAGAGGGAATGTCCCTTTTAAGTGCCTGGTTTTTTCTTGGCAATTGTTGTTGAATGCACTTTCTTGTAAAAGTTTACTGATTGATCGTGGTGTTCAAATTAATGATATAACTTGTTACTTCTGTCATAGTTTGGAGGAACTTCTAATTCATTTATTTTTAACGTGTTTAGTTTCATCTCAAATCTGGTACTTTACTGCGCGTTGGCTTGGATTCTCACTGGTTTTGCCTTCAGATTTATCGACTCACTTGCTTTCTTGGGTTGGTGTTGGCTGTAGTAAAAGAGAAGGAATATGCTTATTAATTGTTTGGGTAAGTACAATGTGGTCTTTGTGGTTGCATAGAAATAGAATTATATTTTCAAATAGTGTTTTGGATGAGAGGGAGGTCTTAAATTCTATTATTCTGAAATCTTGGAAATGACTATCACTTGTTAGTAAGGGAGAAGATACTATGTTAGCTGATTGGTATTTGAACTCACGAAATTGCATCTGTCTTAATTTTGTATAAGTATATTTTTGCTTTTTATTTCTCTGAGTAAGTAATTTTTTCTGTGTATATGGGTTTTGAGTTCCCCTTGAACTCTTTTAATAATTTTTGTTTTGCCTATAAAAAAAATTTGTTACTTAATGCAGTTCTTGTGCAGAATTTAACCAAAACACGGATTAACAATTCTATCAGAAGTTTGTATATTTTATGATACTAAAGATAAAGACCTGCACCTTTTTTTGTATTGCGATATTTTTATGAGACTATTGAATAGTTTGGTGTCAGTATATGTTTTTTTTTTAAATTTGCATGAGATATTATTACTAAGTATATATGAAATTCAATGTGAAAAAAAGAATGGAAGAGAACAGTAATGATGTAGTTTGTAGTAGTATGAATAATTTTGATTTAGAAGAATAATCTTCTTTTTAATAATAGTGTACTAAATATCAATAAAATTACTAAAATATTTGATTATATTAAATATTGTACTTAATTAGAAATAATTCGTGACAAAACTTTGGAAAGTTCAATTATTTAAATGAATTAGATTAATATTATTGTTATTTTATTGTTATATATATATATATAAAACAATAAAATATTTCAATTGAAAAGGATATCATTTTATATTTTAATAATAAATCAAATGCTTTAGTTTTAAAATCATAATTAATGAAATATATAATATATGAATCAAGTATTAATTTAAAAATTTATATTTAATATTTATAGATATAAAACTTCTTTTTAACATAAATATAATAATTTAATATTAATTAATTATTATTATTATTTTTTAATATAAGCTGAATTTAATTACAAGTTAAATTAAAACAACATCATACTTGTTAATTCACCTAGTAAATGGTAATAATAGCTAAATTTAAATATTATGATTATGATGATTATTATTAAAAAATATAAATTGTTTTATACCCAAAAAAATATACAAAATACAGCAAAATAAAAGAATAAATTAATTACGATATATGTATGCATGCAGAAGGATTGATTATTCATTTGTTAAGTAAAATATATGATAGAGAAGAAGGAGTACGGGTAATAATATTGTCCACGTTATTTAATCAAGGTTTTATATTTATCTTATAGTTACAAAAAATAAAATTTTATTTTTAATTACTATTTTATTCACTTTCTTACTCTTTCTCTCTCTCTCTTTGATTATAGTATATTTTACACTATCATATATATATATATATATATATATATATAAACATTTAAATATAATAATTACTACAATATTATCCTTTGATTATTATATTAAAATTCAAATAATAAAATAATATTTAAACTATTTACTTATGATATAATAATTACTTTACTGCATTATGAAAATATTTCAATAAATTAATTGTAAAAAAACATTTTATTATATATTTTAATTTATTATTGTTATTATATTATAGAGTATAAAAAAATTATAGTTTATATTTTGATGAATTTTCTACGCCCAATCAATATTGTCTATGCATATTAGAATAATTTTTCTCTAATTGTAAATTATAAAAGTAATTCATAATTGTCATCATAATTTTATCTTCATTTTCACAATTTTCTCTCTTCAATTATTTTCCATATACATATGTTTAAGTCAAAATAAAAGATAAAAAATAAAATAATTTCAAAAGATATATGTTTAAAGTATTGTAATTTATATTAAAATATGGATCTGTTATGACAAATATAAATTAAATTAGAATATTTTATAACTAATTTATTTTATATAGAAAAATATCTATCTCTTGATATTTTATTTTTACTTTTGTATTCTAAATAAAATTTCTTTAATTTAAACATAATATAAATTAAATTTATTTAGATTTTTATGCAAGAGGATAGTGCTTTAAATATTTTAAATATATTTTTCATACATAGTTAATGTATTTGTTTTTATAAACTTAACTTCATGACCATTGTAAGAATTCAATATGAAATAATTTATGAGTGTAATTTTGATGTATTATTAGTATAAAATTGTTTACTCTACCAATTAATTAGAAAATATAACAGGTACGATTTTTAATATAGTTCTTATAAAAATTAATTATTTTCACTGATATAATAATTTGTGATTAAATGATAATATAAAAAGTATTTTATCTTATCTGTAAATTTTAATTAAATATCAAATTTATTAGTTAAATATATTTTTTAAAAATTAATTAGCAATAAAATTTATATTTTTATAATAATATTTATTATTAATTAAAATAAATAAAATTAATTTTATCAATCTATCCATAGTGCGGGAATTAAAACAAGTATATATATAAAATGAGATGAAAGTGTTCAGTTGGTTTTACTTTAATATTATCTGATAATTATATAATAATCATTATAATTATAATAAATGATTGTGTATTGTTGTACGAAATAATTTGAACATAAATCGAGACAAAGTCTTCATAGACAATAACATTTAAACTTTTGACAAATTTACAAGCCATGTGTAAGCTTTATTTACGTGCAAGTTACAATTAGTACACGGTATCATGAAAATTTGTTGAATAATCAACGAAAATTTTTTGGATAAGTAGGAGAAAAGTTTCAAGTTAGATCAACAAACCAAAAATAATTTAATTTTCGTTTTAATATTTTTAATTTTATTAAAAAATTAAATTTTAGTTCTTAATATATCTTTCATAATATTTTTTGCATAAAAAAATAAATCATTTAATAATGATTTAAACTTTTTTATT